AAATGCCACCATTCCCAGGAGACAACACACCCGCCCAGGCAGCTCCTCCAGCATGGCTGCACTGTCTCAGGACTGGCTACCACCAGGCTCACTGGCAGCTGTCCCTGGTCATGTTGGTGCAGTGCTCCCCAAACTTATTACCTTGTGTTCTCACATATCCCTGCCCCCCGCCCCGCCAGTGCCAGAACAGAGAGCCAGGCTTGTGTTAGTTCTTTGCTCAGGGCCATGGAATCTGGAATTATTGTCTTATAGAAAGTGGAGAGGAAAAAACCAGAAGCGATGTCGTGGAAAAGCACTGACATGCAGCTTACCTTCACCTCAATGAAGTCCGGTTTACCAAGGGACACCAGTTCAGCATAGGCTTTAAGTTCATCCACGTTCCAAGCTTTCACTAGCGTCAGTCTATACACTGTGCGCTGTTGCTGAAATAAAAGAAAACTCAGTTCAGGGATCCTTGTTTTGCACTCTGCTTAACGAGCCTTTGGTATTTCATACTTTCTAATTGAGTCTTCGAACTATCCCCCCAAAATAAAAAAGCATTTTATTGAAAAGTCCTAGTTCCCAGCATTGGGGAGTGGAGAAACTCTACTTGGTCTTTGCAGACAATTGCAGTAATTTAGATAACGAAGGGAACTACTCATGCTACATAAATAAACTTTTGATCTAGAATGACTGTATCTAAAACTCTCTTCTCCATATGCAATTGCCTATGGGAGTGTTTATTTATTAGGACAATCATTTGGTTCCAGCAAGAATCAAGACATTTTCTCCCCTTTGTTATGAGTTTTCACCATTAGTTGCAATAGGGATATTTTACTTAATCATCAAGACGAATCATCTGGCAGTGGCCAGTAATAAAGACAAGCAACCAGACCAGACTAGAAGGAGCCTTCATCTGTCTGGGTCTAACAATGGCTATAGCATGCGACATTAAAACAGCAGCAAAAAAGGCTCCCTTGTGACCAGTTACGCATTTTATTGGAAACAAAAATGACATAATTACTACCAAAAGATGTATAAGTGTCCAATTCACAACCTAATCCATAAAGACTGGTCTATAAACCATTAAAAGGAGTGTGCGTTATTTGCATTGCTATTAAATAAACCAATATCAATCCATCAGGGGCGCTCTGTTCCAGCTCTGAATCACATCAACACATCACCACCACTCCTGCTAGGTTCTACTTGCTCTCTACAAAATCTCTCTCCACAAAGCTGTTCTCTTCAATAACTGGTGAAACAATCTAGTCAAGCACTCGGATGTCTAAGTGCACTCGCCTATTTCCTAGGATGTCCACAGCAAACAGACTCATGCATAACGTGCTGGCCCTGTGTGCCTCTTAAGAATAGAGTGTTGCTGTTCTGCAGCTTTGCTCTTTATAGACTCAGACTTACAATCAGAAGGGATCATTTTGATCTTCTAGTCTGACCTCCTGCACATTATGGGCCACATGACCTCACCCACCCACTACTGCAATAGACCCGAACTCCGGCTGAGTGACTGATGTCCTCAAATCATTGTTTAAAGACTTCAGAACCAGTACCCTGATTGAAGCCTACACGTGACTTGTTTGCTATGCTGCAGAGGAAAGTGGAAAAACTCTTGGGGTCTCTGCCAACCTGACCAGGGGGAGGGAGATTCCTTCCAGACCCAAATATGGCAATCAGTTAGATCTTCAGCATGTCAGCAAGACCCAGAAAGGCAGACATCGGGGAAAGAAATCTCTTTAATAACTCAGAGCCCACCCCCTCTACTGCCCCATCACTAGACACGAGAGATATTTGCTCCTAGCAGTCACTGTCATGGTCAGCAGTTCCATCAGACCCTCCCCTCAAGCTCAGTCTAGAAGCCAGTTAGGATTTTCGCTCTTACTGCTCCTCTTGCAAGACTGTTCCAGAAATTGACTCCTATGAGTGCTTGAAGTTAGATGGAGGTTTCTTGCCAACTTGCTGATAGCCAGGTTATATTCCTTTTTTCTTGTGCCCACATTGGCGTTTAGCTTCGATAACTCCTCTCCCTATATGGTATTTAGCCCACTAATATATCACATATCCCCTGAGCTTCTTTTGATTAGGCAAAGCAAACCAACCTCTCGTTCTCTCACAAGGTAAGTTTTCCATTCCTTGAATCATCAGCATCTGTTCCAGTGCGGATTTATCTTTCTTAAACACAGGAGATCAGAATTGCATACAGTATCCCAGATAAGGTCTCACCAACCCCAGGTATAACAGTACTAACACTTCCCTATCTTTACTGGAAGTATCTCGCACAAAGCATCCTAGGACTGCATGAGCCTTTTTTCATGGCCATATCCTACTGTAGCTCATAGTTATCCTATGATTGATTAATACACTCAGAACATTATCCTCCTCTGTTGCTTCCAACCACGACGTCCCCAGTTCAGAGCAAAAATTCCTGTTGCTAGTCTCTTTACTAGGGTATGCTTGCTTGAGCAGATACTAGCACCAACATTTCTGTAAACAAGGAAGCCACTTAACTATGGGATAAGGTGAGGCTCTAGCTTTATTTTTTTAAGTTTATTTCCCCCCCTTATTCACCAGCTCCTTAATCTTTCAGTATACAGGCAGTCCCCAGGTTACATGGATCCGACTTACATCGGATCCCTACTTACAAACGGGGTGAGGCAACCCCGCACTAGCTGCTTCCCCCCAGCAGACCAGGGAGACGCGAAGCTAGCGCTCCCCCCCGCAGACCAGGGAGACGCAAAGCTAGCGCTCCCCCCCAGCAGATCAGGGAGACGCGGAGCAGCTTTTCTCAGCAGACACCTCAGCTTGAGAATAAAGGACTGAGGGAAGTGAGGTGTGGGAGAATAAAACTGAGCTCTGGAGAAATGTTTGGCTAGAGTTTCCCCTACAATAGGTACCAGTTCCAACTTACATACAAATTCAACTTAAGAACAAACCTACAGTCCCTATCTTGTACATAACCCGAGGACTGCCTGTATTTCTAAAAGAATCTGGTAGCAAAATGTTTTCAATTAACTCATTTTACATCCTTGACAGCGAATACACTGTACAATATTACAACAGTCCCAGCTTACTTCAAAAAGATAATGCAACAAATCCATAGCAACCTAAGAATTCACTGTTGTCCCTAGGCTAAATACCACAGCCAGAATTCCACAGCAAAAATAGGGAGAGAAAACTGATATTTCTGTAGCTGAAGAATCGGGCCTTTACTTCTTCAGTCTGAAGAGATTCTTCTCTTGCTGATAGCACTACAGAGCCTAGGGCAGAATTTAATAAGACATTCTAATTCCATCCAGTGAAGGTGAGTTGTACAAATATACACAGTAGCCAGTTTGTTATAGATATTTCCTCACTCCAGACATATATGCTAATAATGATACCGAACTCTAATAAATAACAATAATAATATCTAGATTACTTATGCAGAATTTTTCACTGGTAGATTTCAAAATGCTGTGAAAAGGAGATTGATACTTTTTACAGATAGGGGAACAGGCCCAAGAAGGTGAAGTGACTTGCCCAAAAATCATCCACTAAGTCAGTGGCAGAGTCCAGAACAAAACCCAGAACTCTTGACTCCCATCACAGTGCTCCATCCACTAGATAACATTGCCTTGTGACAGCCAGATCATTTTGAGTACCATTCCCAATTCCCAGAAGCATCACATTTCCTCAGGTCTCTATGTATCTTGTTTCCATGTAACATCATTTCTCACTTGATTTTTATGAAACTTGCACTGTTACATAAACTAGAAGACCGCTCCAATCTATAGTGTATACAAATCGATAGTGCTTATATCTATAAGGACACAGATGTAATAGAATGCATTTCAAATCACTAATAAACAAAGGACCAGCAGTCTAAAACAGTTTAAACAAAGGCTGAAGACTGATTGCTCTTTTAGTTAATATTAAGCATTTGGGGCCACATTTTAAAAGGTAATTAAGTGACTAAAGATGCAGATAGGCACCTACCAAAGCCTTTAAAAATCCAGGCCTTTGTACCTCAATGTTTCTGCCTCTTATGAGCAAAAAGCCGCAGGAAAGTCACCATGGTACCTAAGGAAAAAGGGTAGAATTTGAGTGCCTGAAGACAAGTGATTGGGCCCATATCCTCCAAGGTAACTAGACCCCTAGTTTTTATTGAAATCAAAGACAATTATGGGCCTAGAGACCCTTGGGTCTTAGCAACATAATTACTCTTCACTTTCAATCAGACTTAGGCAGTAAAATATCATTGCTAGCCTTAAAAGCTGCTTGAAGGGTTACACCTCTATGAGGACCTTGCATATTAGGAGTCAATAATTGTTTGATACAATAAACTAACACAAAACCTTATAAAAGAGAAGAAACTTGAGATTAACATACATTTTACAGGAAACCAACAGCATCTCTCTGGAAAGCTGCCATGCTTGCTGCCAAATTCTGGATTAGTTACAATGCACAGAAAGCCCATCTGTAGCAGCTGAGATAATCAATAAAAACCCACTAATAACATTAATTTAATTTACTTTAACGGTGGTATCACTGCTAATAGACTCTAGTCTATGTGACAAGTACCCTGACGCATCAAGAAGAGGGAATGATTGCTAAACGCAGAGTTTGGCATGAATGAAGTATCTGTCTTTCCCTGGCTTTCCATTATTCATAACCTTGTTGCCTTCTGGGAATAGTAAGGTGAAGGCTTTTGTGATAGAATTGAAATAGCAAAAGAAAAGTTCAGCAAGAGAGATAACACCAAGGTCATGGAATTGATTATTAAAGAGAGGGCAAACAATGGGAATGCTAAGGTACAGCATCTTTTACAAGATAATTGGTGGGAAAGGAAACGAAAGATTACAAAAAAATCTAAACTTCAGTAAAACCTTGGCTCTACTGCATGTCTGACCATTTTTGATTTGCACTGTGGATCACCTGTGTCCCTCGACTCTCTAAAAACAGTTACGTGCCTTTCCTAACTGTTGTTCTTCGAGATGTGTCGCTCACGTCCATTCCATTTGGGTGTGCAGTTGCAATTGTCAGAAGGTTTTTCCCTTCGCGGTACCAGCTGGGCTGGCAGGGGATCTTCCTGGAATGGCACCTCCATGGGGGCACATATATACCCCTGCGTCGGCTCCCTCTGTTCCTTTTTGCTGAAACACTGCCACGAGGCGGTGGTGGGTAGGATTTGGAATGGACATGAGCAATGCATCTCAAAGAACAACAGTTAGGAAAGGCAGGTAACTGTTTTTACTTCAAGTGACTGCTCGTGTCCATTCCAACGAGGTGAAGCCCAAGCCGAATTAAAGGAAGTAGGCTCGGAGACTAATTGGAAATGAACTGCAACACAGTTCTGCCAAAGGCTGCATCATCCCTAGGCTGTTGGAAGGTGGCATAATGATTGGTGAGTGTGTGTATGGAGAACCAGGTGGCCAGCCTGCCAATATCCAGG